GTAAAAGGCTTAACATAATGCCCATAATACAGTAAGCCTTCAGTACATTCTAACAGTGGTAATAATGATTTTCATTATTGAATATTCTAGCCACTAAATATCCCGTTTTTAAAGAAAAAGTCTTCAGAAACTGCTGACATTATGATGCAAAGTAGAGAAAAAAGAAATTCATGGAATGAGTCCAGTTACACACAGCTATTCCTCTCGTGCATTTCTGGGTAAGACGGTAACGTGAGTGCAGGTGTTTGATCTGCTCCCACCCCCCGAATATATGCGGGGATATTTTCAAGAAAGCATACAAGTAAAGGACCTCTAGTGTTCATGTTTAAAGCCAGGCCGGGGTCATCCGTATGCCCCAAATTGTGTGCCATTGTGCTGGTGTGCTCAGAAAGCTGCACTTGTTACTCACTTCCTGGGAAAGAAGAGCAGAGCCAGGAAATCATGGGAGACACCTGACAAATGCTGCTTGGCCTCCTCTGCCCAGCCTCGGAGAGGGGAAGCGAGGGACTCAGCAGGAACTGGATCGTAGAAAAGAGGGTAGTTAAAAACTGCGTGTCCTGAGAAGTGATCATTTGTGTGTGAGGGAGACAGAAAGATATTCTCTTATTTCAAAGGCCCAGACAAAATGTAGCTCTTATTCTTACTGATGTATCTGACGACTGGAGAACTGAATCACTGAAAAATGCAAGAATGGAAAAGTTACTGCATCAAAGGACTCCTGGTCAACAAACTGTGCAGTTAAATAGGCAGTGTCTAAATGATTGTTAATATGAAGCTAAAGGTTCATGAAAAAATGAAAATCAGTATCTAAAAGACACAGATCATAGAAAATCTAATAATAGTAATGTTAGCTGGAGATGGCAAATGATCAACAAAAATGTGAAGGTGGAGAGAATATGAGGTGGGGAAATTAAAGGTGAGCAAAATTCCTTACATGTGGAGAGGCTCAACAGAATCAAATAATTAGAAAAAATAAAATATTTTTAGAGAAATCTATAGGTAGTATTTTAAATTAAAACAGGATGTATATATCTTCCTAATCACCAGAGAAAAATACATTCATTAAAAAGCTATTAGAAATACAAGAAGGGTGAGGAAAGATGAATTTATAGTAGCAATTATGTAAAAAATATGTTAAATAATATGATCAAAAGGATATGTTAAATAATACATTTAAAGCATTACCCTTGAACATAGACAAGATTAATATACATTAATTTACAAAAAACTTAATAAATTCCAAAAGACAGATATTCTGCAGGCCACCTTTTTGAATCTAGTGCAATTAACTAAAATAAATAATTAACAATTTAATTCCCAGCTAGAAATTTCACAATATTCTCTTTGGAATAAAAGGAAGATAAAATTAGAAATATATCTATTCAGAAAGTTACAACAAAGGAGGGGAGGGGTGGGGCAGAACCATAAACAGGAGATTAGAAATTTTAAACAAATACTATTTTTAAAACATTTAAACGTTTTTTTAAAACATTTAAAATCTTGATGAAATGTGTAACTTTTTGAGATAAATACAAATGATAATAAGAAATAAGGAATGAATCCAAGATTTCTGGATGGCAATCTGATAGACAATGGCTATTCACTGAGAGGCACATGAAAAATGCAAGAATGGAAAAGAATGAACTTGGTTGGGGCATTCTGAGTGGGAGGAGTGTATGGGGCCATCACGTGGAAATGCCCAGCCAACAGCCGGGTAGATAAGGCTGCATCTCCGGCAAGCTCTCTGGGGACTGGAGATGAAGATATGTGATAGATGATCAACATGTAGCTTGCATGGAAATCATGGGGCACTGATGAGGTTGCCGAGGGGAAATGTGTAACCGAACAGAAGACTGCATTGGCAACAATTGTGAGCAGTATCAATATTTACAAGACAGACTGAGGAAGAGCCGTCTTCAAAATAGGCAGGGTCAGCATGGCCGGAGAGATAGGGGTGAAATGGGCCAGTGTGAGTTCCGGAAAGCCAGTAGCTGGAAGTCATTTCTGGCGGGAGAGTTTTCCCAGTTCAAATGCTAACCTGAATTCAAGATAAAAGTAGAAAAGCTTCTCTTGATTTGACTAAAATATTATTGGTGACGATGACACGAGAGATTTCACTGGTGTTCTTTCAAACTTCTAGTCAAGAGATAATATCCATGCTACCTAAGTTTTATAAAGCATAAGATCAAAGACAGAAGGCTTCTTAATGTATTTTTCAGTGCTGGTATAAAATAAAAAATCCATCAGGAGCCGGATAGCACCATGCATGCAATTCCATTTATTAGTATGGACATATAAATCCCCACCAGCAGTAATAATAATTGGGTGCTCAGTATGTGCCAGGCACTGTTCTCGGTAACTGAATTGGTTTAATCCTCATACCAGTAGTCTTATAAAAATATTAACAAATTGAATTCAGAAACATACTAAGCAAATTATATACCCCATCCTTGAGTAAGCATTTCTTTGTGAAATACTGAGAAATCTGTTCTAAAATACAGTATCAATTGGTCACAGGAGAAAATCTATGGGATTGCCATTTTCTGAAATTCTAAAGCATTCTGATAAAAACCCTTATCAAAGCATGATAACTACGATCACTCTGAAATAGCCCACCCTACATTTGGTGGTGAAATGTTAGTGCCATTCGCATTTAGAGAAAAACAAGCAAGACTATTTACCATCATCCTTATTTTTAGACACTGTCTGGGAAGTTTTAGCTAATGCAAGCACGAGATTGAAGAGAACTGGTTGGGATTAATATACAGACAAGATGATGATTACATGTAGGTGCTGAGAATGTACAAGGCTAAGAATCAACAGAAAAAATGATACCTGTTAGGGGTTTGCTTACAACAAAATTGATAGTTCCCACTGGTTAAAATCTTTTATGTGCCAGGAACTGCACTGGGGTGTTATTCAAGCTGTTTCATTTGATTTTGACAGCAAACTCATGAGATGGATTTTTAAGCAGACACTTAAAGAAATTAATGGTGAAGCTGGCTTGCAAACCTAAGACCTACTCGAGGCTAAAGCTGCTTCTCATAATGACTATGTCATAGATGCCATGCACTGCCTGCCAGACATAAAAACCAAAGGTGTTTCTAGGTGCTAATAAAATTCTTAGAAGATGTGATGAGGGAGTAATTGTATTTACAACAAAAACACAAAAACTGAACTACATAGCGAAAAGTAAAATGAAAAATAAAAAATTTACTACCTATACCAGGAGCAGTACACATCTTACTAGTATACCTCAAGAGGAAGAATTCCTACGTGTAGGTATATGTATACACAGACACACATGTTTTGTATGTGTATACTTACCTGATCTTGGATTTGGGGTGCTCTTTCTACATATAATGCCTAAGGGTAAATTGCGATAGGTTATTGTAACATGGTGATAAGAGAGTTAAAATATAAATATATGAAGTGTTTCTACATGTAAAAAAAAATAAAAAGACTAGTTTCCAAAAGAAAAGAGTGCAGGAAATATTAATAAGCAGTTCATAAAAGAAGAAATTAAAATGATCAGCAAGTATGAAAAAAAATTCTTCTGCCTCACTGATGAACAAAGAAATGTTAAGTTAAAATGTCCACATGTATTACTAGAGGGAGTATCAATTTGTACATTCTTCTGATGAGTGATTTGACAGTATGTGTGAAAGGCGTTAAGTAGAAATCACAATTTTTGGCCCAGTAATTCTAAGTCTTAGATTTTCCAATTGAAATAATTAAAGTTATACACAAAGAATAATTATTACTCTGGTTTTTATAATATTTGAAATTAAGATCACATTAAATGCCAAACTTTAGATAGCCATTTAAATAAATCAGACCATGTCATGGAAAAATATGCAGGAATTTTAAATAATATTATAAAAGAATATTTAATAACCTGGGGAAAAGCTTGATATATTGTTAGTTGGATAAACAGTAGGTTATGCAACAGTGTGACTAGTATGTCTCTGAATAATTTTAAGTATGTGTTTGTGTTGAAATCTGGAAGGATACTAGCAAACAGTTGACTCAGATCATCTCTAAAATGGTGAGATTATGGATGATTTTATTTTATTTATCATTTAAGATTTTTAACATTTTTAAATAATCTTTTCAAACAAAAGGTGTTGCTTTAAAGAATAGCAACAGATATTCAAAAAACATGCAAAAAGGAAGATTATAAAGGAAATACACCCTCCTGTGTTTACTGTTGCCTAATGAGAGTGCAGGTGATTATTATTTTATTCTTGGGGTAATTTTTTCTTTACTTTGATCATGTACTAATTTTAAAACTGTATAATTTAAACAACAAACTTTTAAGAAGTAAAGGAAGAGAGGAAGAGAAAGAATCAAGATAACAAATCTAAAAAATCTTTAGCATAGTAGAAATGCTTGAATATATCATTCATTCATTCCCTCCCTCTCCCCCTCCCTCATTTTAAAGTTGCTGACACTAAGTGCCTACTGTGTGCCAGGCACTGTCATCAGCTATGAGAACACAGTGGCAAACAAAATAAGTATGAGTTCTGCTCCTGTAGAACTTTGGCATTGTAGAACACACGTTATGGGGTCTGATATTAAATGAATTATAGATGATAGGCATTCTTGGGAAAGAGAAAGGGGAAGAAGGGAAAAGCATGTGTAAGGTAGTCTACTGTCTTCATAAGAAACTGCGGTATGGTTGATGTATAACATTTCTGATGATTTGAGAGTGAGCACAGAATTATAAGTGCGCGCACGTAAGGTAGAACAGATAAAAAAATTGTAATAATCCTGAAAATTTGAAATACCATTAGAATGTAAAACATTAGGTTATTACTAATTCTAGATTTAGAAGTGTGAATTAGCCAATGTCAATAGCAAAATCCTTAACTGATTGTATCCATTATGTATCAATGCTTAGGTAATAGCAGAACCTTTCTGTTACCTGTGGAAGACTTCTTAACAGCTTTGCCTTGTGGCCAGGAGACATACTCATAAAGAGGACTTTTATTTTTCAGCATTAAATGAACCCACCATAGACTATGGCTTCCAGAGACTGCAGAAAGTTATCCCGAGACATCCTGGGGATCCTGAGAGATTAGCCAAGGTAAAAACTTTGAAAATTGACAGGGGAAAAATCTTCTTGTAGAATTTCAGCAAATTTGGGTTAATCCAGCAATGTAAGTCCCTTTAAAATTAAATAAGGCCTTGAAATCTGGCTAAGCTTTAGATACAAGATGCACATAAAATATCTAACTATGAAATATTGTGATTAATCTATAAGGAAATAAGAGATCTGAAAATGTGGGCCTATAAAATACATAGACTAGGAGTCATCAGCTTATTAAACATTGCCAACTTTTATGAAAATAAATACTTGTAAATTGCTTAAAAGTGTAAGTACCTTCTCCTTAGCCATAATTTCAGGGACACCTTCATGCACAAAGTAGTATTCATTGAGGTCCTATCAATGAATATATACACAAGTATTGAATGAAGTGAAAACACCTCCATATGAAATTTCAACGAAATGCGTCACTTTTAAATGAATTTGCTTATGAAAATGATATCAAGAATCTGGCTCATTATTTTCACTTTCTTTAAAAATAGATCCATTTATTAGGTATTCAATTAATGAGAAATTATTGTTTTAACATTTATATTTGCATTTTAAGCACACACATTATAATATGCAATGTTCTTTTTTTGGTACTGTGAGTAAAATTCAAGTACCAGAGTTGTTTCTATATCACACCTTTATTTTCCTTTTGGAAAAATCCCCAGTCCCACCATTAACTTAGATGATATCTGGAAAGTAGGTTAATAGCAATTTAAACGGCTGTTAAAAACAGGAGGGGGAAAAGACAAAATGAGAGGAAAGGGATTACCGATTACTACTTCTCTCTAGTTAAAGTGAACAGGGGAAATATTATTGAAAGAATTCATCTTTATTAGAATAAAATTTTGCGAAAGGCATTGCCAAGATAATTTCAGTACTTTGGACAAGTCCTTGGCAGGCAGCTCAACTCAGGTCAATCAAACATTTTCAGAATATTTGGTTAATTAGTGTACCAGATTTTTTAATGGAATGATCTGCAAGTAATTTTTAATGGAATTTTCATGACATGATTGTAAATCAACTCTGCCCTTAATTTGGTTGTTTTTTGTTTTGGTCATACAACCATTTATGGAACCATTTTATCTGGATGACTTCCATGGAGATACATATTTACAGAGGGATTTATATGTATGATTATTTTCTACCTGTCAAACCAAACAGAAGACCTGTTAGCCAGTCATTTACATTTTAGGAGGATGATTGGACTTTAGTTTTCATTCATAATTTTCCTTTGTGTTTGCCATTTTGGGTTTTACCTTTGCTTATTCTACACTTTTTCTTTTCTTTTTCTAGGAAATGCTGTTGAAAAGAGCTGCAGATCTAGTGGAGGCCCTCTACGGCACACCACACAATAACCAGGTGAGAGGCTCAGACCTTACACCCTATCGTGTCTAACTCTCACGCCCAAGAGAAATGCTCACCCCAGCCTGCCATTTTGTAGGACATCATTTTGAAGCGAGCTGCAGACATTGCTGAAGCCCTCTACAGTGTCCCCAGGAATCCCAGCCAGATCCCAGCTCTCTCCAGCTCTCCAGCCCACAGTGGCATGATGGGCATCAATTCTTACGGCAGCCAGCTTGGGGTCAGCATCTCGGAGTCAACCCAGGGAAATAACCAAGGTACTCATTCTCTCAGAGGCAAAATTCAAACATCTTACACGTTTAAAAGATTGGTTCTGCTAGAGTAGGAGTTAAAGCTTGATTCATATACCATTACAAGAGTGTGTTCCCAGATAAGCAATGTAATCATGTATTGGATTATCTCAAATTATAGGTAGCGTATTGTTGGATTCTGAGCTTTTTAGGTCCCAGGTAGAATCCCTTTAATTGGAAGTATTTAAGGATAAGATTGACTCTTATGAATTTAGAAGGGTTTAGGCTTAGTGAAACTAGATTTATGGGTATTGTTTGAATAAAATGGATACTTTTATTATTGTGGTCACCAGACTGAATAATGTAAAGAAGCTGAGTTATTACCATGATCATTTATTGTGTCTGACTCTCTCTTCCTAGTAACTAAGGCTGAATGGCTTGATTTTATTTGGTAAATTCTATTTATGTATTCCTTCATAGTCAAGTATATAGGAACACACTTCTACAATTAATTTTGCTTTTCTATGTAAAGTGTACTGTGTGAAGATTTTTGTCACTGAGGTTGATTTTTATTAAGGTGCTTATCATAAATCATTTTTCTACAGGAGTAAATGTTTCTAATAATGTCCCTAACCTTGGGCAGTTTTATTTCTAATTTCATTCATCCATTGGAAAGGAATTCCTCATTCTCATACCCAGGGTGAATTCTTCTTATAGAAGGGTGGGTGTGGACATACTAATTTTGGGGAATCAAATTTGAGTCATTTTCTAAATAGCTTTAGAGATGGTTATCCAAAGTGGTTATTTCAGCACAGATTAGGTAGTGTCTTTGTGTTGGGGTTTCAGAATTATGGAGAGAACTCACTGTCTCTTACCCAGGCTGGGTGTCCCTGTGCTCAATTACCAATACTTCCAAGTCTCTGGTCAAAGACAAGCACATTTAGATGAACTTACCAACACTTTTTGAATGAAAGTGTACCCCACCCCTACTCGGGACATGGTAACAAGTTTGAACTAACATCTCCAAAGTTGTGATCTGCAGAGTACCAGTCACTCTCAGGATATTTTTAAGATGCTTTTTCCCACATTCCCAGAAAAGACGCTGTGCTGTGTTGAATTTGAAAACAGTGTTAGCAACGTTAAACCAGTTTATTTATGCACTAGACTCTTCCTAGGCAGACCTTCAAGGATGATGACAGTACACAACAGCTAACTTCCTTTGGCCATGGAATGCTCCTCTCAGTGGTTCCCAATGATGCCTCACAGGGCTGTAGCGCCATATTGGTCATTCGCTCCTTGGCGTGAGTTGGTCTGGCTGCAAATGTGAAAGGAGAGGAAGGAGGGCCTCTCAGGCGCATGGCCCTGTGCAGAATGGGGAAGAGAGCAGAAGGCATAAAGGCTGAAGACGAATTGCAGACCTGCCCCCGCTGCCCAGGGTGGGCTTGTTGCTGTGCTATGGCCTGAGGCCATGGGGATCTGTGCTGCCATATTTGGCCCGCGTTGCGTGTGTGTCGCAGTTCATTTATGTGGTGGTTTCTTTGTTTTCCAGGGTACATCCGCAACACGAGCAGCATCTCTCCTCGTGGCTACTCCTCCAGCTCCACCCCTCAGCAGTCTAATTACAGCACCTCCAGTAACAGTATGAATGGCTATAGCAACGTCCCCATGGCCAACCTGGGCGTCCCAGGGTCACCAGGATTTCTCAACGGCTCCCCCACAGGCTCCCCTTATGGAAGTAAGTGCCCTTTCCATCCGGCTCTCCCTGTCTCTCTGTCCCTGGGTTTTCCTGTTCAGCCTTCTCAGGGAGAGGTGCGTGCCTGTATCTTAATGATGGGGAGCAATAGCCCAGTTTCCTGGTGAAATGTCCTTCCTGCCTTGTTACTTTCCCGTAGCTGGACTTTGGTACCACTGGTCACTCAAAGCCTTCCGAGGGAAAGAACAGGAACGCAAATGTTCCGTTTCTATAAAGAAAGAGAATATGCGGCCTGTGTAGATGGGAGTGAGGAATTAAGGTTCCATTTCAGTTAATGTCATGAAACTCTTCACCAGGTACTTTCAGATGCAATGTTTCATTTCGTCCTCACAAGACCTTGCTGAGGTCAGTATCAACTCCTTGTTATAGGTGAGGACATTGAGGTGACTTACCCAAGATCATGCAGCAAAATAAAGCAGGGCAATAACGTGGACACAGATTTTATGACTTCACCTTGTTTGTGTGTCACACCAAGCTCCCTTCTTACTTTGTTACGCAGCTGTCCCCTCCCATAGGCACTTCCACAGAGATGGATCTGGTTGTGAGACTGGGCCATGTGGAGATGAACCCCTCGATCTTAGTCTGAGGGCTAGCAGCAAACTAGACGTCCTAGGAAGTGATGAAAACTCATTTGGGTTGCTTTGGGGGCTAAGCCAGGAACTGCCCAATGGCCCCGGAACCTGAGAGAACCTATGTAGTAGGGAGAACTTCAGGCCAGGGAGGAAGCCTCCATGGAGAATCTGACTGAGGGAGTGGAGTATTCTTGAAATGCTGGATCTTGTCACAAGGCTCTACAGCAGGCCTTGGTCACAGCCATTTCCACTGAAGATCAGGGGGTGACGGGCCACGGATCTGGCGGCTGTCCGCTTTGGGCCTGTGGTTCCCTGGGGCCCACACCCATGACCTACTTCTTGGTTATCTGTTCTATTCCTTACACTCAACACCCTCTTCAGTGTGATAAGGACAGAGTAACGGAGGAGCACACGTAGTAGAAGTTGGTTCTCCCAATACAACTGAAATCTTGTTGCCGCAAAGACAGGAATTCTGTGTTATGTCCCGTAAGATGGCCCACACCAGTTTGATCAGAGTGGTCTAGGAAAACAAATGTTTGCTTCCTTTATTTATTTGCTTGATTTTACCTTATCTTGTTCCAAAAATGTTTTGAGGAATACTACTCATCAGACAGGTAGTATGAAAGTATAAAATGGAAATGACAAGAAACTGAGATTTAAAAAACACATGGACAGGAACATTAGATGAATCCACAGGCCGGGAAGCATGCCATTTAGTCTATTCAAGGGAGCCATTAATTTGGTTCAGAGGCTTACAAGATGGTAAAGCAAAGAAATGCTATTTATTAAAATATTTCATGTCCACACATTATTATATTATTTTTTAGCAGCTCAGGGAAAACCTGATTTTTCTGTTGCTGAGACTTTGGAGAGCTTTCTCCCATGCATCCTTGTGGAGAGGGAACCTGGGATGCAGAAAGGACCACATCTTCAACCAGCCCTGCAAGGGATACGGGAGCAAGAGAGCCATCATGTAAATAATGTCACATAATGATAATGACAATGGAGTAATGCATAATTGCATCCCAGTTTACAGCTTAACATGCGTGTCCACTTCCAGAGACCAATCAGATCCTCACAACAACCTCAGGACATGTATATAATAATAGTAATTAGCATTATTATTATCCTACTATCACTTTCCCTTCTAAGATACAAAGGACTATTAAATGACTTACTCAAGGATTCATAGCCAATAAATAGTAAAAATGGGACTAGAACATATGTCTATCATCAGATTCAGAATACCACGTTTTGAAATTATGCAATAACATAACAAATACTTCTTATATTTATAATACATTATTAGGCAGAACCATATGGAATCCCCTCTTCTTGATTTCCAAAAATGTCAGTTTCCTATGTTCAATCATACGTTTAAGAATAAAATGTGTGCATTAGGTTGAACCATATGACATGGTTATTTCTGTAGATTAAAAATGGTCCACATCATACAGTGTGTAATGTGGTGAGGTGGTTGGAGGGAGAGAGAGAGAGAGAAATTATGACTAGATGAATAGAAATGCCTCTAGAGCGTTAATTGCTTGATGTTTGTTACTAGAGAATTCATTTGGTGGGGTGGGACTCATGTTACTCTAGCAAGTGACAACTTCCTTCCACTGTCCTTCCTTGATCCCCAATCCCCCTGCCACGCCAAAAATCATAACACCCCAAATCTGCAGGTTGCCCATTAAAACAAGACCACATGCACAGACTAGAAAGAGAAAGGTGCCCCAACCAGTGGGAGTGGGAAGCACAGCAGAGAACCGCCTCCTTGCCCCTACTGGGTCTGTGGGACCCCCTGCACCTTCATTTTCTGAGGGTGGGTCTGGAGGAATTGCAGACTCGGATTGGGATTCCAAACAGTGCATTCATTGCAATAAACTCCCCTACTGCAAAAATACTGACTACCCCATGAGGTTCATTACCATAGCATCCGACCTGTGTTTCTGGCCAGCTAAGTCTTAACTTCTCTGGGAAATACAAAAAAAAAAGCCCAGGGGAAACCATTTCATCAATTCAGTTGCTTGTATCTGAAACCACCATCCTATGATGTTTTATTTTATTTTTTAAACTAGCCTGATGTGAGCAATCACTTGCCAGAGAGGTTGAAAAGAGATAAAGCCAAGCCTCTCGGTTAAGTTAATTTGCATTACGACCAAGGCAGAGCATCACGAACCTGCCTCTTAACTGTTTTTGCTCTCACACCACTTCAAAAATGGCCAAACAGATGTTTTTTCAATTTCACATACAAATTTCACTTCCTGGCGGTAGTGGTGTGTGCCAAGTTCCAGCTCAGTGCAAGTTTTTATGGCTGAATCCTAAGCCCCTGACAATAGGGGGTTATAATGAAATGCTGACAGACCCCTTAGTGCCAGCAAATGCAATGGCTCAATGCAAAGGGGGATATGTGCCCGGTGAGTTCCAGCTGGGATTGTGCAAGCCAATCAATCCTTTTGAGAAGAAAAGTGGTTTTTCCTTAACTCCCCTTATTCAGAGCTTTCTGGGCCAGACACGCTTGCCTTTATGTTGGCCTCCGTCCATAGAGAGATGTCCAGAGAAATTCTCAGTTGTGAGTCTATGATCAACTTTTCCTAAAATGGGGCACTCTGGTGTCCCCAAAGATGCTCTACTCACTGAGCCCTTAACACCCATGGGACTACTTCTTCCAAAGCAGAATAGCCACCGAGCAAATGCAAAGTTAAGGACAGAATCCAGACAGACAGGAACCCAGCCCGTTCCTAGGGATTCCTAATAAATAAAGACATTTTCTATTGTAGAGTTTTAAGCTATGATTATAGAATATCCACAACCTGTGAAAATAGTTTTTAAAAAGAAAGTGTACTCCCACTGTAAAAAAAAACAACCTTGTTAACCTTTTGATATACTTCTATTATCTTCTTCCTCAGCGAGAAAAAATATATATTCTATTACAATAGGAACATACTCATTACCGACAATTTGAAAAGCATGTATATATGTAAAAAAAAGAAAAGACAATTGACACTTTATTTCTATACAAAGATAACCATTGTTAACTTTAAAGTGTAGCCTTCCAGTCATAGAGACACACATTTTGAAAATGGTAGTGTCAGCTTTGATGCACAATAATGGGATTCCATCATGAGATCAATGAAAGAGAGTAGAAAAGTGGTAAAATGACCAAAGTCACACATATGAAGCCAGGCTCCATAAAATTCATCAGTGATGCAGACCTGTGTCCTAAGAATGGCAAATAGCTATTAGGAGTCATGTTTGCTTTGAAAAGTTAACTACAATCAACAAGCTTTTCCCAGGAATTCAAGAATTTGTTATTCGCTTTACTTTTTTTGTAACAGAAAGATTAATAGACAACCTCATTTATGGGCAGTAAAGCCTTAAATCAAAGAGGAACATTAACATCCAGGAAAGCTATTATGCCTGTTACTAAAGATTATATTGTTTTTTACCAAAGAAACAGAGAGTTTCAAGTTGTTTATTTTAATCGCTGTTACTGGTTTCTGCTACATAAAAAGTAATACATGCCCTAAGAGCCACAGGGCATAAATCTGCAAAGAAGTAAAAAGCTAACCTTTTCAAACAATATGGCTTCTCTCTCACTTACCAACTTTACATTTCCCTGTATGGCCCCGGAAGATGACTGGTTAGCCAGAGACGGGTAAGATTCCTCAAGGGAGGAACAACCTAAGACAGGCACAGTCGCAGGGGGGCCATCAGGTGAGAAATTGGGGATCAACAGAGGTGAGGCTTAGAACCTCACCCCCCCCCTTTTTTGAGAGAAATCTTCTGCATCCGTGGATGTTTTATTGCCCTTGTCTAGCTTGGATTAATACTTAGTCTATAGGCACACACCTGATCATCTAAATTTGCTCTCTTACAGCACTAAACTATGTTTTCTACCTTTATCTTGCATCTACCTACCACTTCAGCATTTTATTAAAAATAATAATAATAATAATAAGGGAGAATTGTGGGATTCACATATAAATCAAGTATAAAAATCAAACGAATATTCATATTTGACCTGATTGTTTATAGTTCATAATGCGTGATCAAAACTGAAAGTTTCTGTAATGAATGCCCTTGTACTGTTCACGATTTAAGAACTTATTCACTATGTAAGAATTTGTTCACCATGTAAGAGCTTGTTCATTATACTTCAGAAGATTGGAGACTGATGAGAATTAGGCTTGGGGTGGATTAATGATTGTGCATTGAGCATTGACCCCCCTGTACAGAATTTTATTGTTGTTAACAACCATTTGATCAATAAATATGAGAGATGCCCTCTCAAAAAAAAAGAAAAAAAACAATACATGCCCATTGTAGAAAATTTTGAAAATATGGAGAGGTAGGAGGAATAAGCTTAAGAATATTCATTGCCCCATGAGTCCGAGATAACATCATTAAACATTTGGATGGGCGTCACATCCTTCTAGACTTTTGCTTTGTATGTTCTTTAAAAATGAAAGTGGATTTGAAATATGTGTTACTATATAACCTGCTTTACTCATCTGAGGAGTCATATCTTTCCATGTCCTTAAATATTCTTCCCCAACATTTAATGTTTGCATTGTGTTCCATTTTATGAACTTAATATAGTTTATCCTATAGCTGGTCACTTCAATTATTTCCAAATTTTCCATGATTATAAAAATGCCCTTAAACCTATTTTTTCCTAATTATGATTATCTCCATGGGATTAATTTCTAAAAATGGAATTACTGCGCTTAAAAATATGCACACTTTAAGATATGTATTGCCCAAATTCCTCCAAAGAGGTTAATACTTCCCTTAGAAAAGGAAGAGTATCTGCTTTTCCTGCCTTGTTAATTTTTAAAAATCTTTATCCATTTGGTAAAGTGGAAAATATCATCTCATTACTGTTTTAATCTGCATTTGATTGCTAATCAGTTTGAATGTCTATGAGTCTGGCAGATCTTTCGGTCATTTCCATTTCTCCTTGTGTGACTTTTCACCTCCTTTGCCCGTTTTTCTATTGGGATGTTTTTCTTTTTCTAATTAATTGATAAAAAACTTATTAACTACTGAGGATATAAACGTTCAATACCTTATGGAGAGATTCCCCACCACCACCACCCCCAACACACGTTTTACTGATGCTCTAATCAAGGTGTTTGAAGAGGAGATTTTGCATGGAACTATGTATAAGATCCACTCCCAAAGCTCAGCCCTGTGTCCTATCCTACCTTAATAGTGAATTTCTCCAATTTCTTCTTCATTTACATCTTCAGGTATTACATGAGATCCTTCCAGGACTTCATCACTTTTTCCATTTATTTTTCTTTTGATGCATATTACTTTGAGGAAAGAGTATACTCAGATACTTCCTTCTGAATCTTTAAATCAGGACTACCTAAAGAGAAGTAGTTTTAGATAAAACTCTTTTTCTGAAGTCTTTGATTTGCATTTTGGCTGTAAAAAGCATCATATTGGAAGTATACTATATGATATGCTTTATATATGCAATTGTGTGAGCATAGCCCAACGTGTATTTTTGTAGGGAGATGGGGAGGACCAGAGACGGAGTCTTAATGCAGGACATGAGAACATCTGACCTCAGTTCACCTGTACTTGATATTGGAACCATAAGCCACATTCGTATCCTCACTTCCAAAATTTATTTTGTATGGTAGCTGGGCCACTGAAGTTAGAACTTAGCATCCCTAGCCTTTACCATGGATTTTAATTCTTTCGTAAGTCATGTGACTCGTACAGTTCAGAATGCTGGAGATCATGCCAAAATGAGTCCCTGAAAGTTGACCTTGTACTATTAGATGCTGTATCTAACAATTGTGCCCTTGTGGACTCGAGTTTGCCCCTTTCGTGAACAAACTGAACTTAGAAGATAAAATTATCATCTTGCATGATACAACTTGGTAGAGTATCTGACATTAAGAGGTAAAGAACTTCATTGTATAAATTGCCTTTATTTTTCTTTGAAATTACAACAATTCGTTTTTGGCTTTTTAAGTAATTTTAATGTTAATATTAGTATTTTTCTACACATTGCATCAGAGGAGGCTGACTTGCAAGCTTTATTTCCCAGGAGCTCTGGAAGTAGAGGGGGAGGGAGGTAATCTCCTCAATGTTAATAAACTTTGCACTTAATGAGGAAGTGGCCCATGGAGATGGCACTCTCAGAGAAGATGTTAACCCTGCAGCTCAAACTGCTGAAGCCGGGAGAATTACCAGGGATGCACATAGCTCCCAGACAGGATTTCTTTTTAGGGTGAAAAAGAGAATTCTGTTCCTGATTAAATTTGATGATCTTTCAGATGCTGGCCTTCACCCATGTTTCCCTAAACACTGTGCACACTCCTCCAGTAGGATCATTACCCTATTTGTTGTTTTATTTGCCTTCTTCCCCCCCCCCCCGCCCTTCTGGCCCCTGCTAACAAGGACACGAGACCTGGGTACACCACTACCACGTGGGCACCAAGCCTCACTGCCATCCGGGCCCCCCCCCCCCCCCCCCCCCCCCGCCCCCAGGAAAGCGCAGGGACATTGTCACACTCAACTTTTAAATCTGGAACAAATTAGTAATTTCTCAACAACTATGTACAGGTCATATGTATGGAAGAAAGAACTTCCTTCTAGCTCTGTCCCTTTCTAAAAGAGGATTGTACATTTGCTTTGCAGTCATGTCATCGAGCCCCACTGTGGGAACTTCCAGCACGTCCTCCATCCTTCCATTCTCTTCTTCAGTTTTTCCTGCTGTCAAACAGAAGAGTGCCTTTGCCCCTGTCATCAGGCCCCAGGGCTCCCCTTCACCTGCCTGCTCCAGCGGCAATGGAAATGGATTCAGAGGTAAGCAAAGGCACCACTGTAGGACTAAGCATGACACATGTCCTAGAGGGCCAGCAAAATAGGAAAAAACATCACAGTATCATTCAGTGTCTCCAGCCATTTGCCTACAGAAATGCTTGGCTGCTTCCACAATGTACACATGGCTTGTGTAGTGGGCAGGTCCTCCATCCAAGAGCAGATGCAGAGAAACAGAGAAGTTAGACAACTTTTCATGATCAGAGAATTAACTATGGTAGGGCCAGATGTACCCTCCGGGAGTCTGTGGACTCCCCAGACCTTTGCTTTGCACAAGGCCATGTCACTGTTTCCCAAAAGGTGCCTGCTCACCACATCAGATGCTACCGTGGTGGTTACTGCCTCCCTAATCGGCTTGCCATCAGCATACACACAGTCCCGGGCTCAGGTGGGCAGCATCCATCAGGAGTGACCAGCAGGGTCTGAGAACTCTGGTTACCAGTCAGTCAAAGTGAAGCAGCTGCTTGGACCAGGGGTCAGGTAGGAAAGAAAGAAAAAGCCATGCCCTGTCTTAGGACAAAACTGAACATCACCCATGAAACCCATTTTTGAGCAATGCCTTCAATATAATATGACATGACCGAACACAAAGGTGATGAGTCCACGAGAATCTAATCATCTCATTGTGAATGGGAGGCGGCTGACGGCAGAAGAGCAAATTGGAAACTGCTGAACGCTATGGATCCTGACGACCCACTTTATTTTTAGGCTGCTCTTCATGTCTGTGTGAAAACATTCATGATGAGCAGTGTGGGATGAAACCAAGAGAGAGCAGAGGTTTGTTAACCCCTTGAGGATAAAAGCCTCAGAGGTCCTCAGAGGCGTAGATGAGCCAGGCCATCCCTGGTGGGGGGTATCTGCCTAGTGGCTTTGTGACTGCTCGTGGGGTTCTGGATCCTCTGGGGACACCTGTGAGGGCTCAGTCTCCAGTTGTGGCTGTGCAGGTCTCTGGGAGTTCCCTCAGGTCCCTGCCCCATTCTATTAGAGACGGCGGTGTTTCCTTGAAGTCAAGTGACTTGTCAGAAACTGTGAAATGACAACTGAAAAGCCAGCACTCAGAAGAATTCCTGGAAATTCTTTTACTTCTAATTAGACAATGCAGCAGGGGCTACATGCCACCCAATGTGTGCATAGCTGGAAACATCTGTGTAAGTGTAGATGGACAGATACTCGGTTTTCATCCAGAAGTCTGAAGCATAGAGAAACAGGCTCAGTCCGCAGCCAAGCATTGCCACTGGCCCTTCTCCCCTCAAAGATCAGTAGTTTCCATGTCACTGTTAAGGGCTCTGCTCAGACCTTTTTCACTGATGGCTTCATCTCTACATTGGGAAATGGTCACAATTGCTGACTATTTGCTGTATCTTCCCTTTCCCCATGACCACTGCAGCCATGATGTCTCCCCTTTTCAAGGTCCACAGTTTCATGTCCCTTAAACCAAGTGGGGGCCACACAGCTCTCACTGGGGGAGATGCAGTGCGAGAGGTCCAGGAAGGGCTAAGGAGGAGCTCAGGCACAGGGCGCTGGTAGGAGGGATCCGACCCTTTCCTCAGCCACACAGCCCTCGCAAATATCTGCAGCTTCGCTTTGAGAAAAAAAGCCTGCCCCTCTCCCGCCTCCCCTCAGGCACGCACTGAGTTGGGAAGAGAAGCTGGTTGTCTCAGATCTTCTGGGTCTGGGCAGCCCAGGGATGCCAGGATGAATGTTTCCCCGGCCCACGCAGTCTGGAATGCCCGCCCGCCTGCTGCTGCGTGCCCAGCGCCCCCTGTGGTGTCACCGGGCCGGGGTTGAATTGGCAGAAAGAGTTGGAGATACCTGTGTGGTCACAGTAAGATTCCCCATTAGACGGCGGCAGCTGAAAGGTCCAGAAGACCCTCTCTAGGGCCCTAAGCCGTGTGCCCGCAGGTCAGCACACTTAGGCTGAGCGGCACCCTCCTGCATATGTCTGTAGGAGTGACAATTTAGTTGGTTTCACAGGCTCTGGGCACTAGTTTATTTCTACAGAATCACTGCAAAGTCCTGAGCCTCTTTGGATCCTACAGTTCCTTCCAAATTTGCCTGGTGATTTGAATCTTAAGAAAAAGGAGAGGGACATGGGGTGGGGGGTGGGGAGGAGGAGGAAAAGAAAAAAAGAAGCGCTTAAATTAGGATTGGAGATGAAAAAATTTACAAAGAGCTATGAAGCGATTAAGTCATGTGTGGAGAAACAAAGGAGAATTCTGAGAACATCAGAGTATCGGCATGGGACGGACACGGGGCTTGACTTGGCCAGGCGTGTGTTGGCAGCTCAGCTCCTCCCGGGCTGTGTGATCCTGAACATGTCGTCATCACTGGAGAGCCGCCGTTTCCTAGTCTGTTTGATGGGAGAACTGGTAGCTACCTTCAAAGGCTGCTGTGAAGTCATTTGTGTGAAGAAGTAGGAAAGGTAAAGATATTTCATACAGCCTGGCAGAGAGAAGGCTGGGGCTCCCAAAGGCGCCTTTTAGAGGTCCCCACTCCCGCTCTTCCTCATTTGGGCCAGTTGAGTAGATGTTCGAGGCCCAGCAGGACAGGGTGTCCAGTGACGCAGAAAGGGAAAGAAACAAGCTGACGTGGCGTGCACCACACACAGCCATTGAATGAAGGAACCCTGGGGTTGTGGGGACCGATAAGCCGTAAGTGCCATTTCTTTGGAGACAGACAGTGGGCTCTGAGGCGCTGGGGTGATCACAGGCTGCTGGGCGTTTTCTTCCCTCGGCTCATTGTAAGGTGCCAGTCTCAGCTGTCTGCAGAGCACACGTGCAGCCAACACCCTCTAAGACATGCTGACCGTTCTTGCACTCTGCGTGTAAGATGCTGAAGCAGGCACTTTACCTGAGTTGCCCTGCTCAAACCTCACCTGTAACCAAAAAGGGAAGGTCCTGCCATTATCACCGTTGTTAGTTAAGCCACATAGGATGTGACTGATGATTGAACAGAGACATTTTGACTCTGACAGCCGCTGTCTCTCCAGAGGCAAGACAAGTGCAATGCCTCTCTTCACCCTTCCCCCACACCAGATTCCCACCTGGACCACAGGGAGATTATTCCTGTCCCATGAAAGACCAAAGGTTAAAAAAAAAAGGTGGGGGGACGACAAAGTGCAGTTAAGCGTTCTCCCCTCCCACAAAGAAAATGCTTACTTTTTCTCCAGTTAGCTTTTGCTTTTTGTCTGTTGGCTATGGTTTCTACAAGGAAAAGTCAGGGTCACCACGTAGCAGAGATCCAGCCCACCCCACAGCTTGATGTGAGACTGGGAAGAAGGAAACTGTGTGAAATCTGTTGTCCTTCCAGCACACAGTGGGTCTTGTTCTTTGCACGGCTTTGCCCTTTTAATAAGCGCCTTAGGGAACTCTCTGAGGACCAGGGAAAGGAAGGGGCTGATGAGTTTTAAGTGTAATAGACAAATTAAGGTTGAAAACATGAGCCCGAACCCCGCTATTGCAGAGCTGTACGAGCAGTGTTCGTTCTCCTACCTTCTGCCTCATTTATCAGGCATTTGCAGTTGATGAGTATAGATTGTTGAGATAATATTATGCACTATGTGCCTGATTCATTTTCTAGTTCCCTCCAGGAAAAACAAATAAAATAAAATAAAAAACCTCCTACACTCTGGGATAATTACTAGGGTTGCTGTATCTCCAAATCATCAGGGAGTGTCCAGAATTGAACTGCCTTTATTGAAAAGTTACATCGATTCAATATATAGTAATACAGGCAAAAATAATTAAGGCTTTGCTAGCTGTGTAAGACCTTAATCCAGATCTTACAAACATTCAATAAAGGCTGTATGGGCAAAGAAATAGGCAACTGACAATTTTGCCCGAGAAGACTAGCTGACATAGAGAGATGAGCAGAGGGAGAAGGGAGACAGAGACGGGGAGAAGGGAGGAGGAGTAAAGAGAAAAAGGTGTGTTGGGAGAAGCAGGAAGAATTTTGACCATTTGGCTTAGTGTTTTGGCTTATAAGCTTAGTAAATACCACTCAGTAAAATGCTTCTATGGTGTTTGATAAGCCCTAGATGAGATACAGACAGTAAAACTCAAAGGATTAAATCCTAGGTATGGTTTGCAACTTTGATACAAGGCAGCTCTTCTGCCAGTTTCCAAGAATGTAAAAATTCTATGGGTTCATCATCTGAGAGTCAAGGCTGCAGGAGTTCATTTTGCTGTGTGATTGTTCACACACACACACACACACACACACACACACACACACACAACATCTTTCTGTGATGCTGCTTTATTCCCCGTATCGAGGGGAAGCATTAGGCCTGATGCCACCCAGAAAGGCACGGTCCATATCTCCCTGACCAGACAGAGGAGATCGTTAGGTGCTGTACTTGGGCAGGGGATGAAAAGTGGAGCTTGGGCGGAATCCCAAATTAGGAATTCAAGTCCCTTATTCCAATAGATCCTCATTCACTAGTGAATGAGCATCTCGTATCAGCAGTGAGAAACCAAGGGAAGGTGAGCTGTTGAGGAGAAAAGGAAGCTCATTAGATTTCAGCCAGAATGGATAGAAACCTAGGATGGACAGATAGTCCAATTTGTTGTACATGATGCCTAGCAAGTACCCGATAGACTCGGCACCTGTTCTAACTCGGTGATTAAGAACCAGATAACCTAGAAGTTGTTTTAGTCTTAATGATGAAAACTGTATCATGCATATATTACAATTCAGTTTACATGTTAATGTCTATTATGTCATGTACATAAACCATTAACAGAAAACCAAACAAACTCTCGAGCAAACTTCAATGAGCTTTGTATTTCAATGACTCAGTGAGGCTTCAGTGCCTCTGACAGACTATCTGCTTGACCAAACTGGGGCAAAACGTGTTCCCAGATCAGCTGAGGGTACCGTCTGTCCGGGTGGTCCCAGACTCCATCCATCCCTCCCCCTGCTCTTCCCTCTTTAACATTAAAAGTCTCCAAGTCTGATTCCTGTGCCAATTTGCTTGCAGCCATGACTGGACTTGTCGTGCCCCCGATGTAAAGAAGAGGAAAAACTGCTTTCTTATAGCACAAAACTACTTACTCTGATGGACCAATAATGAAGAAAGCACTATGAGCTCTTTGGGGAGAGCTGTGCCCCCAAATGATCATGATGGAAGAGTTGGGTATGCAAGGAGCTGTATCTTACCTGGTCTCACGTTTCTTGTGTAGCTCTGATGGTGGCCAGACAAACTGACCCTTTTGGGGACAAGGACAAAAATGTCATTGACGTAGTCAGTGCTAAGAGCAGAAATGCAATTCTTTGTTATGAACATTATGAAAACCACCTTCCTATGTTTGTAAAATATTTAAGAAAAAAAAATTGGCAAACAATTCATGCTTAATATTTTGGATACTATTTGTTTTTCTTTGTAGGAAAAAAAAAAGTTGAAAGTTTCTATTTTCTATGAAGCCTTTCAGATACCAATTTAGTTTATGCAGAAAAAAAAAATTGAACAAAACAGGGTACCAGCATGGAAGACTTTCTTAAAACGAAACCTGAATTGAATGATGAAATGTTGTCGTATGTGTGTTTGCTTATAGTTTAATCTCTTTAAAAAACAAACAAAAACGAACAAACAAAAAAAAGGGAAAAATTTTTAAATGTTTTACAATTATTTAAATAAATAAACGTGTAACTTATTGTAAGTAGAGGTAGAAATTAAGACCTTTCTGGAAGGAGAGGACTTTCTCTTCCTGATGTAAAATGAAAATGATGCAAACACGTAGTAACAAGTTAAAAAGGTGTGTGATTATTACTGCGGTTACTTGCTAGACCCTTATCCCCCATCCTTCACTTCCCTGTTTTTCCATTGTTTGACTGACCCACAGGCAAGAACACGAACCTTATGCAGACTCCTGCAGAACCAGCGAATGCAAAACAGAGTCAAGCCCAGGCACAGACACACACGCTCAGGCCCATCAGGTCATTCCCAGCGCCATCTGCTTTCTGAGAGCCTACGTGTCCCTTTGGGTGTTTACTCTTTGTGAATATCTATTTTTAATTTATATTATGTTTCAACATTCTCCCCTGAGCAGTGCAGAGAATTCCCATGTTTTAGTGCATCCCTGGCTTTGCATCCCAGGGAAAGATGTATCTCCCCTTAAAGAAAGAGCCGAAGTCACATGACCTTCCCAGTCAAGTGGCCACTTAGGGATTCTTCCTCAGCAGAGTCCATACTCCCTCCTCTTTGGTTACCTGATTCAGCTCAGAGTTATAAGCCCCACAGCACTTCACTAACAGGGTTTGTGGAGATGTCACACACCCTTAAAATGTCAACCTTAAAGTGTCAACCTTAAAATGCCCATGTCCTTTCTTCTCACTGCAGATTTCCCCTTTCATGGCATTAAACTCTCTGAAAATATATCTGTATGTACCCAACTTGACACAGTTCCCAGGCAAGAATGGGATGGGATGTTAAAGAAGAATGTTAAAAGCCCTAGATGCCTCTCCTGATGTTCAAAAAAGAAACAAGGAAACCCAGATTCTCAGTAGGGTCAGAGATGAGGTGCCTCTGTGCTCCAAACGTGCAGTTACCCAGGCCTGAAATGGGCTTCCCAGAGTTCTGGGACTAGCTCTTAGGGGGAGAGACCTTGTGGGAGCTGCTAACAGTGGCTGAGTCTTTAAAAGCCTGTGTGATCTGGGCGATGCATGGACTTGTTTGGACTGCCGGTAAGGTTGCCATCTTTTTCCAGGCCAAGGTTCTCCTTGATGACTCATTGGCACCACAGTATAGTCCATACGCGGACTTTGGTTTGAGGTTCTTGGTTGGGTTCTAATGTTAGAACATTAGAATTTGATGCAGCTCTTATGGAAACATCTTTAGTGCATCTGAGCCAATTCTAGATGACTTCACGAATTCTGCCTCCCTTCCGTAGGCCCCGTTGATAAACACCCACACCTATCCACCCCACTACGGTCTTATTTGCCTTTAGTCTGTTCTGGAATTACCCTCTATGACCCAGACATTATTTCTATGCACATGAGAATCCAAGGTTTTGGAAACCTATCATGCTTATAATTCCTGCTGACAGACCCTCACAGTCAGGGCTTAAAGCACCAAAGGCAGGGAAACACACAGGAGAAAGTTTCTGGTGAAAAATCTGATGGCAAGGGGAAGGTTTGCAGAATGCAAACATTAGCAGCTGAAAGTGAAGGCAGAACAAAATTAAGCATATTTAGACCTGGATTTGAGCCAACCCAACATAAGGAAATGTTTTTTTAAGTAGCATTGCTTTTAGAATCTGTGAATTTTGCTCTTGCATGAAAATGAGTGCAGTACTGTCTTCAAAATGATTGTAGAATTTGTTGGTAGCTTTACACCGAAAAATGTGTGTAATTAAATACCAGACATCCTTGACCATTCAGCTAGAACCTTGGCAGCAACAGATCTATTTAATTGTACAAATGTGTGTAAGGATTATTTTTAGTGTACTAATAAATTAAAAACAAAGCTACTCTGTCCTCTTTAGTCATTGCTGTTGAATCATTCTGGTCCCAGGTTATTTTTTGTACCACTTGGAATACGAGTATTTCTATAGGTAACTACAAATTCCATCCTATCTTTGTAAGAGGAGCTGTGTAAGATTTTTCATTTAAAGGGACAATTTTCTTCATTATTTATCTCCTTTTATTGTTTGGTATAGCATCATATTTTTTTCCCAGTTTTTCTTTGCACATTTCAATATGCATGGTTTAAAAACCATTATCTTCTCTACCTTTTGTACAGTAAGGTCTCATTTTCAAACTGTATAGTTTCATGTTATCATTTTGCTTTGTCAGTTATATACAGTATAAAGTTGCTATGCACAGAGCTTTTTGTAAAGACAGCTTTTTTGTTTACTGTTTTTAATGGTCTTACTTATGAAAGAATATCTTGTTTGTAAAATGAATATGTCTACTTCAGTTTTAAACTTTAAATTATCCTAACAAAAAATAAAATTTTTGTACTGTAAAGATGATTGGAACATCGCCTTTTTTTTGTTTTAAGTGCAAAAAATTTAGTTTGGCATTTGTTCTTAAGTTTGAAGATTTTCTCATAATTGCTAGTCCCAGAGCTATGCTTGAGGAAATCTTACTACAGGTTTTGCTTACATGGAAAGTGTATTGAGGTGCTCATTGGAGAGGAGAGTATGTGTAACTTTAGATCATTTTCCTGTATGTATTTATTTACATATTCACTTGGTCAAATCCCTTCATTAAAAGCTCAAAGGCTCCTACTTCCTGTGTCAGACTTTGGCTACATGGAATTCTTGAAGTAGGTGGGTTGTCTGCTTAAATTTGAAACTGCATGTTGAACAAATGTTATAAATGGATCCATCAGACACCTGGCAAAGAATTGGAGGCTGGACACAAAGGCTTGATGCCTATTCTTAAATCATAGGAAGAAAAAAAGACACAGGGCCCTGCAAGGATATAATCCACAGAAAGTAGCTCATACAGGAAGATGGAGGGTTGCAGGGGGCTCAGAAAAAATGGTGATCACAGAGGATTGGAGTGGTCAGGGAAGGTTCCATGGGGCAGGCAGGGCTGGACCAGGCCTTCACAGAACGGTAGGAACTTGGCAGTAGAGGTGGGAAGTGAGCACTTCAGCTGGGAAGGCCATCAGGTACAAAGACGTGTAAAGGGATATTCACAAAACACAGTTAGGAGCATGCACCCGTAAATGTGATTTTCAACCAGACTCTTCAGAAGCATACTCATAGTTGGGTTATCTCATTTCTTTCTACAAGGGTGTGGACATCTTCGAATCACATGATCTGTTCCCTTGCGTAAGTGCATGAGATGCTATTCTGGGACTAATCCGAGAAAGCAGTGTAGTGTGGCTTTTCTCCGTGAAGGCTCGCTGTCTACCTGGGCTGTGCTTCCTTTAGATCTGCGCTGTGCTCGCACCTTCTACCCTCAGGCCTCAGGCAGCCGCCATCCATGCAGGGAGGCCTTTGCGAACCACCGACCGTGCAGGCTTCCCACTTAGTCTCTAGTGGAACTCTGTGCTTTTCTCACAATCTGTATTCATTTGTTGTGCACTTTGCACTGAAGGCTCATGAGAACAGGGACCACATCTCTCTTAATACCGCATGTGGCGCCCTTAGCTTAGTGCCTCAGGGGCCCAACAAATACTTGTGAAATGACGAAGTGAGCAGACTGAATTCTGATCCCTGGAGGCAGCTCTGCTTTGTCATGTGGGAGAGGTAGCTGATCTGTCATAAATGATAGGAAATAGCATCACATTTGAGAATCCACTCCTTCGGGACTGTCTTGTCAGTCAACTAATCCAAAAAATGATGAAGTGTGTCTATAATGCAGAGTGGCTGCTTGTTTAATAAACATAGGAAACTCAAAAGGGGAGGGAAGTGAGGAAGAAGAGACCTCTGGCTGGGAACCGGTTGAGTAGCTTGCTTTGCTCCTTGGCCCTTGAACTTATCCCACATGGATTTTCATGGTGCTCAGATGTAATTCTAGAACCAGAATCAGGGCCTTTTGGGGGAATGTACATCCCACTCCTACTCCAGATATGACAACACCTAGTTTGTTGACTGCACACTTGAATCTCAAAGAGTTTATGGTACAGTCACTAAACTGCGAGACATTCAGAGTGGCACCAAATGTGAGAGACATGAGATTTGACGCTTCCAGACTTAGGTGAGGACAGGTCTGAAAGAACCTTAGTTAGCATTCTAGAGAGTTTAGACGTCATCAGTGGGACTATGCTGTAGGTAGTGGAAAACTATTGAAGGAATGTAGTCAAATGATCAACTTTATGCTGTAGAAAAACCACAGTAAACACAGTGTGGATTATGGATTGGAGCAGGGGACTTTGGAGGCAAGGAGACCAATTAGGCAAGGGACAAAAGACAGATGATAAGCACCAGTGTTCTGTACCAATGTCTATGACTAGAATCCATTCTGATTGGTCATTCTGTGTCATGCTAGTTAAACATTTTTAAATTATTCCTGGAATTAGGAGACTATTGCAATAACCCAGACAAGAGTAACTCATATCTGAACTAATGACTGGCAATAGGGGTGGAAATTGGAGGAAAGACTTTAGAGAAAAAAATTTGCAGGTTGACAGGATTCATGGACTGATTAGATGAGGGAATGTGGGAGCTGGGGTGACTAGGATAACTCCCAGTTTTCTAGTCAGACAATCAGATTTTGCAATAACATTAACTGAAGAGGGGAAGAAAGGCAGAAATACATTATGGTGAATGGAAAGGTATAATGATCTTAAATTGAGGACAACTGCTACCATTCTTCCTTTTCTTTCTTGGTTAGTTGAAGATTGTTTCCAGCAGTTTATTTAGGAAGGAGTCAGGAGAATTATACTCTTTGGTTCATGCATATAAAAAAAAAGATAACTCTGTTTCTATTTGAATGGCTGTTTGGTTGGGTATAAAATTTCTGTGCTTACACTTTTTTCTTTGAGGACTTCAGAGGAGCTTTTGTTTTGTTTTTTAGCTGTTTCTGGTATTGTCATGTTCCCTGAGGTTCCACCTCTCTTTCTCATTCCTCTTTTATTCCCCTCATATACACAAAGAAATCCTATCATTTGTTGTTTAAGTCATGACAATTTTGAGAGTGAAAAAGGACACAATAAATAATTATGCCTGGAAAACATATACAAACTGGCCATCAGTCACCCCTTGTGATAGTTTTGTCTGCCAGCCTGAAAGAGTCTTTCATTGAATTCCAGTAACTTGTCTTGGTGTTGAATTTTCTGTGTGATTTTTGTCCCTTGGGATGCAATGTTCCCTCTCAATGTGTAGATTCAAGCCTTCTTTTATTTCTGGAAGCATTTCTTTAAAACATTAAAATATATTCTCTGTTCCATCATTTTGGTTCTTCTTACTAAACATACCACTTATGGATGCATTGGCTTTTCAGTGTCATTGTTCAGATCAATCACATTCTCTCTGGAATTTCTTGACACTTAATGCACGGTTATGGATGCTTTTTTCACTCATGTCCTCCTCTATATTCCTTCTAATATTGGCCTTAATATTAGTAGTAACTCAGATGGGTTTTTTTTTCTTTTACTTTTTCACAAGCTGTGCCAGCTTATATCCCATTACTTTCTATTACATTGCTTATTTTCATTGACTTATTGCATCTCTACTTTTAGCTGTTGTTTTATAGAGAAATTATTTGTTGTTTTAGTATTATTATTATTATGACAATGAGTTGATGAAAATACCATCAACTCTATGAAATTCTTTTTCCTTTTCTGGTGAGTGTTCTTCACCTATCGTTTCTTTTCCTTTTCTTTTTTCTTTTTTCCCCCTCATGTCATATATATAAATCACATTTTTATACCTTTTTGATAATGAGTTTTCCTGGATTGAAATGAGTTTTCCTGGATTAGCTATTTCTCTGAAGTTCAGAGCGGAGTGTCTAGGACCGTATACCAGGCTAGCAGGAATTCTTATTTCAGAGGGGTGTGTGTGTGTGTGTGTGTGTGTGTGTGTGTGTACAAGAGCAGAGAAAGAGGAGGGAAAGACATATTTCAGCCTTTACATCTTTTAGGCAAAATAAACCAGCATTTGCACACTTGCTCACAATGCATATTACTCTTCTCCACCAAGAGACTGCTTGAATATAAATTGTTGTATATATAACTGTGTGTTTGGATATTTCCAAAGACAAGAATGTAACTGTTGTGTTTAGATATTTCCCTCATTGGTCTTGCCTACTGTGTTTGATGTGTCTGCCACATGGGGTCCAGAGATATGTCTACAATCAGACTATGTGGCTGTTCCATTTGTTGCAA